TACCCCTCGGACACTTGATCCTAATTTGAAATTTGTCACCATTTATCTATAGAGGCATTAGACTACCTCGAAGTTTTCCTGGCATCTCAAAAATAATTGGGATCACCACCAGCTGCTTTAGCCCTAGATCCCCTACTCAGTTCTTTCTACTTTGATACCTAATAATTATAACAATAGCTAGTATTTACTGAGTGATTATTATATGGCAAACACTGTTCTGTGTTAATACATTGTTTTATTTATTTCTTGCAATAACCCTATGGAAGGTTAATACTCTTATTCCCATGTTACAGGAGAGGAGATTGAGAGGTTAAGAAATTTACTTAAAGTCACCATTCATAAATGATGAGGCTGAGATTTAACTCAAAATCTGCCTGAGTCTAATCCCCTTCTCTTAACCACTATTCACCCTCATATAGCAAATTGGATATATGATAATTTGGATGTTCAGATTACTCCCTTTTTAACTTCTCAGTAAACGTCTTCTTAGGAATAAGCTCTGGGAGAATAGAGATCACAGGGCCTGGTTCCCATCAAATCAGAGCAAGAAGGAATATGTTCACTATAAGATCAACAAGAAATTGTGTTGCATTTGCTTCCCATGATTTCTCCCAAGTACAGTGCCTGATACATAGTACATAGCATATTTATTTATGAAATTAGTGAATAGACTTGCTCCTTGATTTTCTCAGAGCCTTGCTGGCTATAAAGCTTTTGAGGTGAACTGTAAATTCCTTACATGAAGAGACAAGGCAGGGAAAACCTGGCCCAGTCCCACCAGCACAAATCTCTCTGCATAATCAAAACATCACCAGACTCCAGAAGATCAGAGTCCCCTGACTTTAATTGCCATTTGCTACCTTTTGCTACCTTAACATTTTCTCACCCCAAAAGAACAGACATTGTCTCTAGAACTCTTTGTAATAGTATCTAATTTCTGACATAGTAAGAGACAGGTGTAGGTTTAACATCGTTGTATTTCTTTGTTTCTTGTGGGCCATGACCTTGAGGTCATTCTGTCTCTCTGGGCTGTATTGTCTTCAACTGTACCAGGAGGGAAGGAGACTTTCTGCTCACTAAGAGTCTTTTGATCTTGGACATGCTAGTATTTCCTGGTGAAAGTCAAAGTAAGTCAGACACTATCTCTACCAATAGCATCTGCAACCCAAGCTTCCACACTGTTAGCAATACGTTGTGGGAGAAGAGAATGCCGGCCACTTGTTCTTGCTCAATGGCTCTTCTCTACCTTATATCCAAAGAAAATAGTGAACAGGAAGGAACAGGGGATAGATGGGAAGTGGGGAGCTCTATGGCAAGCAAATTCTCCAGCATGTCTCTTCACCTTAGGCAAAGAGGCCCGGGAGCCAGAGCTCTGAGTGGTCATAGTGAGCACAGTGGTGATGCCTAGGCCCACCCGGGCAGGGGCAGCATCCATGTTGATCCAGAAGGAAACCCAGGACAGGATGACGATGAGTAGGCTGGGGATGTACATCTGAATCAGATAGTAGCCCATCTGCCGTTCCAGGTGAAACTTTACCTCGATGCAGGTAAATTTCCCTGCAAGGAGAGAGGTGACGTATGAGGTCCCAGGTCCCCAGCCTGCAGCTGAGCCCGAGAAGCAGGGCTAAGGCAGTCTTATTTCTGAGGGCCAGCCTCTGGGTACCTCGGCGGGGCCAATAAACGAACCTTTCAAAATGGCCCCAGGGAATGCCAAATGTATGTTTTGAGGAAGCTCTCAGAGACACCATCAAGGACTTGACCTCCTGTTCACAGCACTTTAGTTTCCAGTAGAAAGCCTTCCACATGACAGCACAGCAAGAAGATTAAAAGCAGGAGGGCTCCAGAGTCAGATTGCCTGGGTTTGAATCCTTCCATTGACTAGCTATGTAACCCCAGGCAAAACACCCAAGCTTTTTTTTTAATTAAAAAAAATTATTTTTAACATTTAAAATTTTTTTCCCTCCTTCCCCCTCCCCTCCACACTGTGCACCGTCCCCCCTCCCCCGTAACCACTAGTTCATTGTCCATGTCTATGAAAACACCTAAGCTTTTTGAGCTTCAGTTTCCTTACCTGTAAAACAGAGGAATAAATATCAACTCCATCACTGTATTATTGTGGGAATTAAATGACATAATGTATTTGAGGTGTCGGGCACATAGATAGCTGGTACTGTGATCATTATTAACAAAGCAATAAGCTTAGACTCTGCTCAAATCTCAGCAGCCTTGCTTGAGCTTGCTGGTACCCCAGAAGCTCTCTAGAAACAATGATTCACTGAAATAAACACTTCCTGTGTCTTAACCAAGTGAGAGCAGCCAGATAGCAAACACCTGGAAACAATGTCCAACAGAGACCAGCTCTGGACACCGGCCAGCAGATTCCCATAGAGCATCAGGCAGCAGCATTCTAGTCCACTAACAAAAAGTGCATTGGTTCCAGGCACATGTACCAATGCTCTGCCTCCTCTGCCACCCATTTTTACTTTAGTGTGTGATGCTTCCCATACTCCGAAGCTAAAAAAGCCCTGGTTCAGAGCTTCTCCCAGAAGTAGAAGCTCTGGCCTAGGCCTGCTGTTATCAAGCCTGTCTGATTCCTCAAGGCTAGTGATTTCATCAATGACTGATTATGGCTTTGACATGCCAGGGTGTGATACTGTGATCTACTGTTCCCTGAGTCCACCCCAACTCACCTCACCTCAGGCTTCTTGCCATGACATGCCTTTGCTAAGTATTCATATTTTCCTTCTTTCCTTCCTTCCTTCCTTTCTTTTCTTTTTCATTTTTTGGTAACAGCAATTTTGTTTTCATGATAAAATTCATA